TAACTTTATTTATATTTTTATAACTTTATTTTTATTTATTTTTTTATGTGGTGCTGAGGATCAAACCTAGTACCTCTCCTGTGCTAGGGAAGCTTTACTCTACCACTGAGCTACAGCCCCAGCCCCTCTTGTTTTTGTTTTTTTTTTTTTTTTAAGTGAGGGTCTCATTAAGTTGCCATGGCTGGCCTTGCACATGTAATCTTCTTCTTCCACCTCCCAAGTAGCTTGGCCTTCCTGAAAGAGAGCAAGCAAGAAAAACACAAGATGGATGTCACAATACTTCAAAGCCTAGTCTTAGAAGTAACTTTCCATCATTTCTGTTATATTCTATTCATTAGAAATAAGTCACTAAATCCAGTCCATACTCAAGAAGAAATTACACAAGGGCATGAATATGAATATTAGGAGGCAGTGGTCATTGGGTGTCCATCTTAAACAGTTGTCCTCTACACTACATATGGTTGATAGTATTATGAGTAACTAATCCATTGTTTATCAAACTCCAGTACTATTTGATTGGTTAATATTGAAACTATGTAATTACTTTACTTGGAAGTCTCATCATTGGTTTTTTTTTTTTTTTTTTTTCTGTATTTTCCAGAATAACTTGGGTATTTTGTGGTCTGAAAGAGAAGAAATTGAAACTGCACAGGCTTACCTGGAATCATCAGAAGCACTATATAATCAATATATGAAAGAGGTATGTTCCATGTCATAGTTTTTTAAGTTTTGATTGAAACTGGCTAAAAATTGATATAAGAATTCCTCATTCAAAATATTGGTGTGACATTTTAGTGTATCCAGGAACTTCTTTATAAAGCTGTCTGAGAATCCATCTAATAGCTGAAACAAGATAGTCTTGGGGATTTAAAAACTAATCCTTGGTTAGTTGGGCTTGGTTCATGCATACGTCCTAGCTACGTCAGGAAGTTGGCAAATTCAAGGTCAGCATCAGCAAATTAGGGAGACCCCGTTTCAAAATAAAGAATAAGAAAGGGCTGGGGATTTAGCTCAGTGGTAAAATGCCCCTGGGTTCAATCCTCAGTACCACAAAATCAGTCAATCAATCCTTAGATAGAATATAATGGCAAAATACAATTATACAGGAAATATTCTAGTATTATCCTAAATACTATTTGCATATTTTTGTATTTTTAATCTAAAAATTCTATTTGTTTCCACTGCAAATAGCTGTGCTGAAAGGAAAGTAAATAAGAACTACTTGAGCCAAATATCTGAAATTTTTGAGGTAGTGGTTCTTAATGGTTAGCATGCATCAGAATCACCTGGAGGGCTTATTAAAACTCAGCAAGTTGAGCTGCCAGTAGTTTGGGGATGGGGCCTGAAAATTTTCTTTTTCCAGTGATTGACCCCAGGCCATGTGCTCTACCACTGAGCTGTATCCCCAACCTAAGAATTTGCATTTTTAATCAGGTCCTCTATGATGCTTATACTGCTAATCTTAAGTCCTGTACTTTGAGACACTGCTACAGAACGGTATTTTTTCCAATATTTCCTTTTTTTTTTTTTTTAACTTATGAAATCTGTCTGAAATGCAGTATATGAAAACTATTTAATAAGCAGTTCAAAGTTGGGAATGGTGATGTGTGTCTGTAATTGTAGCTAACTTGGGAGGCTGAGGCAAGATTCCTTGAGCCCAGGAGTTCAAGACTAGCTTGGGAAACTTAATAAGATCCCCACCTAAAAAAAAAAAAAAAAAAAAAAAATGCAGGTTAGAAAGGACCCTTCACCCAATGTACTGCAGATTCCTTCCTTCTTCCCCATCATGGTAGTATAAATAGATGGCTGTAGAACTTCTAGGGCTCTGGGGAACTTAGGTTGAAAACTCACACTTGAGGAGCTCACAGCCCTGCAAAGGTGAGAAACCACTGTTTCCTTAATAAACTTTTTAATATAGACACAATATTTTCTGTTGCTTGCTCTTTGTTAGTAATGTGCTTTAAAAATCCATTAATGGGCTGGAGTTGTGGCTCAGTGGTAGAGTGCTTGCCTGGCATGTATGAGGCCCTGGATTCGATCCTCAGCACTGCTTATAAATAAATAAAATAAAAGATCCATTGACAACTAAAATAAAAATTTTTAAAAATCCATTAGTAAAAAGTTCTCGTTTCATTGAAGAATGTACCACATAAAAGACTAAACATGCTTAGGATGTAATTCAGTGGTAGATTGCTTGCCTAGCATGTACAAGGCCCTGGGTTCAAACCCCAACAGGTAAAAAAAAWTTTTACAAAAACGTGTTTGCTAAATTCAGCCATCAGAATGCTTGACTACCGAAGGGTATAAAAGTTTCTGATAACCTAAGTTAGTAAAATTATAGTTAGTAGACACACAGCTTCCATTTAAGAATTTATGTGTGTGAGCCAGATGGGGTGGCATATACCTATAATCCCAGTGGTTGAGGAGACTGAGGCAGGAGGCTTGCAAGTTCAAAGCCAGCCTCAGCAACTTAGTGAGGCCATAAGCAACTTAGTGAGAATCTGTCTCAAAATTAAAAATAAAAAGGGCTAGGGTTGTGGTTCAGTGGTAAAGCACCTCTGGGTTTAATCTCTGGTACCAAAACAAAAAACAAAAACATGTATGTGCATGCGTGTGCACTACTGGGAATTGAGCCCGGGGTTGCTCTACCACTGAACTATATTCCCAGTTTTTCTATTTTTTATTGTGAGGCTGTCCTCAAACTTGGGACCCTTCTGCCTAGGCTCTCAAGTCATTAGGATTACAGGGATATGCCAACATTCCTAAGAAATTTTATGTATAGAAATTCTAATAGGGGCTGGGGATGTGGCTCAAGCGGTAGTGCGGTAGTGCGCTCGCCTGGCATGCGTGCGGCCCGGGTTCGATCCTCAGCACCACATAGAAACGGGGATGTTGTGTCCGCCGAAAACTGAAAAATAAATATTAAAAAATTCTCTCTCTCTCTCTCTCTCTTAAAAAAAAAAAGAAATTCTAATAGATTAATTATAGTCTTCAATAAACTTTTGCCTTCTAAAAGTTAGTACTCTTTTTTTAATTAAAATACATTTTAGTTAATTTTGTTTTAAGGTTATTTGTGGCATTCTTTTAAATAACCAGAGATATTTTGAGGTTTCTCACAGTTATGAATCACTACCTTTTCAAGTTCACYACATGGTTGCTAAATTCATGGTAAATTTTTATTTTCATTTTATTTGACTCGTCATAAGCCTTTGGCAGAGTTGACCAGTCTTCCTTGAAACACTTTTTTGTACTTGGTTTCTAGGAGCATACTTGCCCATTTTTCTTTTAGATCTTTAATGTTTCTTCATTTCCTCAACCTGTGAACACTAGAGTACCCAAAGTTCAGTCCTTGGACCTCCCTCCTTTTTCCATGTACATTCATTACAAATATTTTCTGCTGATGAATCATAAATTTTATTTATCTCCAGCTTTACCTATCTGATTTTATACTCTGCCAATATGCTTTCTTTATTATATATATTTTTTTCTCTTTGAGATGGGGTCTTGCTGTGTTGCCCAGGCTAACCTAGAATTCAAATTCGAGATCCTCCTGTTTCCCAAGTAACTGGGATTACAGGTGTGCACCTACATACCAAGCTGACATTTGCATTTTTTGTGGAGTAGGCATTTCTAAGACTACTGTTTGAAAGTAGTTTCTTGATAATCTGATTCCCACCACTACCCATTTTCTCTTGCTGCAGACACCAATTTCTTTCAGTTGTTGAAACCTAAACACTTTGGAGACTTCTGTTTTTCTCATGCTCTATCCAATTGATCATCAAATCTTACTGATTCACTTTTTTCTTTCTTTCATTGTTTTTTTTTTTTTGGGGGGGGGTATACTGGGAATTGAACCCAGAACAACTGGGTTACCACCGAGCTACATCTGCAGCCCTTTTTATTTATTTTTTTAAATTTTGAGACAGGGTCTCACTAAGTTGCTTAGGGCCTCACTAAATTGCTGAGACTGTCATTGAACTTGCTATCCTCCTGCCTCAGCTTACTGAGTCACTGGAATTACAGGTGTGCACCACTGTGCCTGGGTTCCTTTCATGCTTTAATCTCACGTTCTCATACCTGAAATTGTGTATAATATAAGGATACCAAGCACCTATAGTATTCTGTTTAAAACTAGTTAAAGAACCAGTACCAAAAATGCAAAAACAAACAAAAAAATAGTGTTAATGTGGAAGCATAACACATAGCAAAACTCTATCTTTGGTTATACTCCTATTTGAGTTGAAAAGTGACTGAGTTGACTGTTCGTGTTACATATGAAGTGTGAGCCATATTGGTGAAGTAGACAAGTAAGGTAATACATTGATTAATTCCCTTCATCTGGATGGGGAGGAGCTTATTAAATAGCCCTCAGAATTGTTTAGGGGATTTCTGAACTACTTCTCAGTTGTATCTGCCTTGGCCTTGCTTCCTATCTTGGTTTTTATTTTCCTGTGTTCAAGGAGCCCAAGCTGTGATGCTTCTAGTGTTTATGTCAAAGTTTAAGATCTCATATTTTATGGAAAGCATTGCAGCTTTGGAGTTTAATGAATTCAGTTAAAAGCAAGGATGGGGTCCTGAGGGTGTAGCTCAGTGGTAGAGTGACATGTTTAGCCTATGTGAGGCTTGGGGATCAGTACCCAGCACCATAAGCAAAACAAAACAAGGATGAACTTGTAGATAGGACTCCCTTCATAGAATGAGGCAGAGGTTAGCAGCTCTGCTCTTACGGAATACTTAAGATCATATTGTAAATGATTTATAAATATTAACTTAATCCTGAAGACACCCTTATGAGGTAGGTACTGATTTTCATTTGTTTGTTTTGAGATACTGGGGATTGAACCCAGAGACTTTGCCACTGAACCACACCCCTTTTAATTTTATTACTTTTATTTTTAAGTTTTTTATTTAATTTATTTAAAAATATTAATTAGAGCTATATAAAATAGTGGGGTTTATTTTGACATTTTCATAAATGCATATATTACAGTTTGCTTCATAAAAATATGGAACACTTCAGAATTTGTGTGTCATCCTTGCACAGAGAACATGCTACTCTTCTCTATATCATTCCAGGTTTCAGTATATGTGCTGCTGAAATAAGCACCCTTTTCATTTGTTATTTTGAGACAGGGTCTCACTAAATTGCTGAGACTGGCCTTGAGCTCATAATCCTTCTCCTTGGCCTTCCTTATCACTATGATTACAGGCATGTGCCACCATGCCCAGTTTAKGTAGGTTTTTTTTATTTTATTTAAAAAATTTTATTTGTGCAAATGGCAATTTATTATGTTTTTTAAAGTTCCTTTTTACTAGATAAAAATTAAGATTTAAAATACTTAAATAACTATACATCTTAAGCCTACGGGTGGTAGCACCTTCCTATAATCCCATTATTTGGAGGCTTAAATGGGAAGATTGTTGAGCCCAGGTGTTTGGGTCAGCCTGGCAACATAGCTATATCATGACTCAAAAAAGAAGGAGAAAAAAATGAAAGAAAAGAAAAAGAAATACATCTCTAAAAAGCAAATTGGATTTATTTCATATTTTCAGTTTTACTGCAGTAGCAATTGAAATTTTTTCCAAGCAGGAGCTGTTAGGCAATCTTTTATTTGTTTGACTCTTGGATACTGTGGTTAAGAAAATGATTTCATGGGTAACATGAAAATGAACTAATGAAAAGTGAGGTGTAAGGTGCGTTGAGCTTTTGCAGGGAGGTTGTAGATTGAATTCAGAGCCTCTTGCATGCCAGGCAAGCACTACCACGAACTACACCCCCAGCCCTTTTTAATTTTATTTTGAGACAGGTTTCCACTGAATTGCTTAGGTTGGCCTCAAATTTGTGTTCTTCCTAACTCAGCCTCATRAATAACTGGAATTACAGGCATAGGCTAGCTACCATGCTGCCTATGTTGAGCTTTTAGAAATRGATATTTCCAGTTCCTCCAGAAGAGGGCGGTAGGTGTTTAAAATGTTTAAAATTTGACTGAGCTTTCTTTCTTTAATGTTGTTCATAGATTGGGAGTCCTCCTCTTGATCCTACAGAGCATTTTCTTCCTGAAGAAGAAAAACTTACTGAACAAGAGAGGTCAAAAAGGTTAGTAAATTTAGAAATCGTAGATATTTCCACATAGAGTGACTATTCAAAAAAAGCACAATGTTTGCTACTTGGGGCAAATAAATATCAAGGTTGCAGAGTGTGGATTCTGATGTGAATAAAACTTCCATTTGCCACTTACAAGTTATGTGTAACATAACTTTGATCTAGTTCAAATCTGAGACTCAGTTTCCTYAACTGTCAAGTAGATACAAGAATCAAACATAACTCAAAGTGTTGGTGAAAGGATCAAGATAAATATATATGAAATTTACTAAATATAAGTCATTATGAGAATATTAATTTTTTTTCACAGATTTGAGAAGGTTTATACTCATAATCTATATTACCTGGCTCAAGTCTACCAGCATATGGAAATGTTTGAGAAGGCTGCTCATTATTGCCACAGCACACTAAAACGCCAGCTTGAGCATAATGCCTACCATCCTATGGAGTGGGCTATTAATGCTGCTACTTTATCACAATTTTATATTAATAAGGTAAGCTTGATAGTTATCTAACAGACTAATAGTGAGCATAAATGTAAAACCAATAGTACACATTATTCAAAAACAGTTAGCTTGCATTTTATGTATTTATTTGTGGTACTGGGGATCAAACCCAGGGCCTTGTACATGGTAGGCAAGAATGCTACCCCTGAGCCACATCCCTAGCCCAGGTAGCTGACATTTTATGATGTAAAATTGGACAGAAAAATACAGTCCTCTTTGCTAGTGTATTAAAATACTGTAGCTTTTGTTGCATGAATTTTTTTTGAGTCTTATAAAATAATGAGTTTTATCATTGTCTTTCATGTTGCTAGCCCCCAAAATATGAGTTATCTAAGACCAATTTTTTATATAGACATACTATTTCAATTCACTTTAGTGATATGTTACCTTAAATTGCAGATTTTATCTTGTTATAGATATATCTTTATCTTTATGTAATGGTAATCTTATAACTATGAGAATTTGTCTGAGGAAGTTGACTGTTAAATGTGGGCTTTGATAAAAGCATGTGATACATTTCGGTTATTTTTTAGAATTAACTCCTCTATAATAATATCTCTGCTGAGTTCCAGAGTTCCACGTTTTCTGACACACCTCAGGACTGTTACCCAGGGACAAATTTAGACTTCTTAGTTGTTTTTCAGAATTGCTCACAACCATGTTGATGTACTCTTAATGGACCCTTTTCTTTTTTAGTCCTTAAATTTCTAATGCTAAAACACTTTTAAACCACCTTTCCCAACCAGATTTTTATTCATCCTCAATAAAATATTTTAGTAAAAATTACTTTTATTTGTATTTCTGATTCACAAGGCTCTCTGAAATTTGGTAATTCTCTGCTTATCAGAGTTCCTTCTGTTCATTTCTTTGGTTACCTGCTACCTTACCCTGGGGCCTTTATCCTTTTTAAGCTTTTTGTTAGTGTTGGTTCTGAAAATGCGCCCTATGTTTAAAGTATTGTCCCACAGAATTTCATTCAGAAAAACTATTAGCAGGAGAGAAAGGGCTGTGGTGACTGCAGCATCGCTTCTAGGACTTTGGTCTAAGATCAAGTGTGTAAGTAACGCTACTGCATATATATCAGAGCATTCAGCTAAACCTAATTCTCATGAATCCATCTCATTGTGGACATCATCAAAAAGTGCCTCTGCTTGTGGGTCCTTTTGATATAGCTATTGAAGGCCCCTTGTTTGTTTTATTTAGCAACTTTAAAATTCTCACTATGATTTTAATTAATACTTAAAACTCCATGCATATTGGTAGTTCTAAGATATCTGGATATGAATGTAAAGTATGATTGAAGAATTTGAAGTTGCTAAGCATTACTTACGTGGAGCATGCAATAATTTCCATGAGCACTTCTTTCACCCCACACTTTTGTTTTTTACCAAAGTGTTCTGTAAGTTTTTGTTACAACCAAGTTATATTTTAAAAAGAGGATTTGAACCATGTTTTAAAATGCAGTTGTCATTTGTGTCATTATCATCTTCACCCAGTTCCAGTGATGAGTATTTGCTCTTCGGTGAGTCCCTACCTGGCAGGTGCTAAAGTCCCACATTTACCAGCCATCTGGAGGGCACAGGGCATTCACTGATCCTGGCAATGGTTGCTTACAGGGAGCCAATCTGGACAAAGCCGAAGTGATAATGATGGCTATAGAGGGGTAGTAGAGGGACAATTAAAGTTTCTTTACGTAAAAATTGTAACTTTCTTTTGGCTTTCAAGATTTGACACCAGCATTTTGATGTACAGATGTTGCTGGGCTAATATTATACATGCTGCCCAACTGTTCCCAAATTATCTTCTGAGTTCACCATAATGGAGATGAATTTAATGCTGAGGTTTTAAAGTCACAGCTAACCATTAAATGTCTTTCATATTTACAAATATGAAGTACACACTCTATTTAATGATGGTGGCCTCCAACTAAGAGTTGGACTGTATTAACTTTGTATTTCTTCTGGGTGAGCTTGTGACTTACATGACAAATGCAGTGTTTACATTAACAACAAAATCTTTTTTAAATGTTTGAGAAGATTTTCATGCCCATATTTGAATTATGAACTCTTTTAAGTGTTAAAGATTTATTAGTAAAGCATTTCTCAACAGTTTATTTGTCAAAATCTATTGACTTTAAAAATTGATGGGAAGCTTCATTGTCTGTAAATTCCAAAGATTTTAGGAGACAGGAATCGCTTTCTATCAGAATATCTCCTTTTTTCCTTTGGATTATAGAATGTAAAGGGATCTCTAAATCTAATAAAAATTAAATCTTTAGTTCTCTGACAGATGGTCAATGTTCCAAGAATTTATTGTACCTGGAACTTTGGCTTTTTAAACTGAACCAAAAGGTCTTGCTGAGGTAGTTTGAAACGTCTAGGATGATAGCTGTCCCTATATATGTACTGGTTATGTGAGGAGAGCTAGTTTTTAAGCTGCAGTTATCTTTCAGCCAGTTTGAGTTTTTATTAAAGAGTTTGGGACAGTGCTACTTTAATCTCTGAGGTAACTATTTACTTTATAATACTATAATATATTTTTCATACTTCTTAACAATTACACTGGACCTCCTCAGTGGTGGATTTTACCTGATAGTATAGTTTTTCCCATGTTAATAAACTTTTGCAAGTATCAGTTGCAAATGAAACTATACAATAGTTATATTTGTTCTTATTTATTTTCCCAACAGCTATGCTTTATGGAGGCCAGGCACTGTTTATCAGCTGCTAATGTTATTTTTGGTCAAATTGGAAAGATTCCAGCTACAGAAGACAGTAAGTTTATGTGTGCATGTTTTATTATAGTGTCTTAAAAATTATTATTTTGAAATTATTTTAAACTTTAGAAAAGTATAAGAACAAAACAACTACCATGTACTGCCTCTCCTAAATTCACTAATTTTAATATTGTAGTCCCATTTTCCTTTTCTCTGTGAAACACATGAGGAAGATCACCTGCATTAAATTCCTTTATCCCTTTATTACTTCATTGTGTATTTCCTAAGAACAAGAATATCTTTTTGCATAATCATAGAACAGTTGGCAAATTCAGGAACTGTAACAAATAGTTTGTTTATCTATAGTATTTATTTCTATTTCATCAGTTGTCTCCATAATATTCTTTTTTTTTTGGTACTGGGGATCAAACCTAGCGGCATTTAACTACTAGCCCCATCCCCAGCTCTTTTTTTTTTTTTTTTTTGGTGGTGTTAGAGATTGAACCCAGGGTCTTATACATATGAGGCAAGCACTCTATCAACTGAGCTATATCCCAGCCATCCCCAGCTCTTTTTTATATTTTATTCTGAGACACTGTCTTGCCAAGTTGCTTGGGGCCTTGCTAAGTTGCTGAGGTTGGCTTTGAACTCATGAATTCAGCCTCCTGAGCCACTGGGATTACAGATGTGTGCCACCATGTTCAGCTAGCCTTTGTTTTTTATCACATCATATTTTTTAAGAATATAGACCAATTTCCATTAATTGTGGTTTGTCTGAGGTT